ATTGATATAGTTGAAGCAGTGGCATAGTAAGGCGATGTGTGTTGTTCAAAACGAAACGATATCATTGCCGAGCCTTTCAGTGATCTAACCGAATGCAATTAATTTGGTTTATAAGATTGAGGCAACATTTTGAAGCAGTTTCATCTGACTTGTACATTGCGGGCACAAAAACAGATATAAACCTCTGATTCTGTCCGAACTCTATGCAAAGATCAGTCACGCTTCCTTACTTGATCACTGCTGTCAGACATTGATCACTGAAATTGTCACCATTATCATATCACTATATCAAAATGCATTCGATTGAATTCTGGGAGCTTTCTGCATCACAACTTTCTAAACTTGAATCTTGCGATCCAGTGCCAATCCGATCAAAATCATCAGACGTCAAATGATCACTCACGTTGAAGGATATTATCATTTGATAGATATGTTATTGTAGAATCACCGGGAAATGGTAAATTCGCAAAATGAATTCAACTTTTAAGTTGTACAACATAGAAAATTATTGAACAGATAATTTATACGACCAATTTTCAATGCTCAATCGAATGATGTCTAGCATGTTCATGTTTAAGTTCATGCCTGAAAAATGATTATTTTCCATTACATTGTTCTATCAAAACCCATTTCATTCCAACTGTACGATGCAATGCTGAATGTTTTTTGTGTGTATTCATTATACATTAATGTTATATTCTGTGGTATAGAATATTTTCGTTCTTATGTATTTGTGATTAAATAATAAACCAAACACAATTGCACACTACATGATATTGCGTGATCACTCTCTAAATGGAGAGGCATATGGTGATTTCTTATGCTTCGAGCATACAATTCGGAAAGAGTTCCTTTCGATTTCGGTCTTCCAGTTCCTATTATCTGATCCAGCGAAAAGGTTGATCCTATTTCACATCTGATGTTGTTAAAGATCGCATATATCCCGGATCGCCTGTCCTATTCTCGCCCCCTCACTTCTTCGATGACTATGAGGAATCAAACCAGATAAACCCTAATTAGGCAGTTCGAAACAGCCAGAACAGATTGTTATGATATTACCATGATCTGCTTCTTTACATGCTAATGCTCCAGGTGAATAGAAAGAAAACAGTTCAGAATCATTTACACAGCATGAAAAATTCAATATCTCATGGGTATTAGTTATATGGTCAACTAATCCCAGACGTTTCACCATCATCAAAGCAGCTATCATAACGATCAGACTTTTTGAGGAACACTGAATATTAATAAGAATTTGTGGTGAATATTTCGATCGTATGATCGCTTCGTAAAAATTTCAATTAGGTGTTAACTAATTGAGGACACGTTCTTCTAACTTCTATTCACATCATCAACCTCAACATCCACTCTTCAGCCATGATAGTGTTGTCATTAAGATCCCAATATCTAATTTGAACACTGATGTCTTACGGGAGTCACATGTTGTTTTCTTAATCACTGAACTCAAACGCTCAAAAATCACGTCACTTGACCGAAAACAATGATCCATTTCACATATTCCTATCTTTGATGCTCGTTGGCATTATTATTGGCTTGGCGTAACCAAATCAATAGAAACCAAGAAGTTTATTGATCACATTCTACGTTTCAGTTATACATTCGAGAGGTGCTGATTAAATGAAAACTTTTCAAACGAAAATTATTCACTAAATAAACATACAATATATGAAACATAAGAGGTACGATGCATTTTATCATCAGCACGACAAATCGCAAACACAATCTAGTAAAAAAGTAGTATACATCCTCAAAAAATAGTCGTTTTCTGCGGAACACTCGAAAATGTATGCATTCTAACATCCATCATAATGTTGTCTAAGTTGACAGTATAATATAAGTCCTTTTAGTCAACGAGAACATTCACTCATAACAGTGAAAGAAATGCAGAAAAAGGAGCATTTCAAGGGATCAACGCTTCAGTGATTTCGTCGCATCCAAAAGCCTGGAACGAGTCCGGATGACTCGGCTCGCGCTTGCTTCTCGGCTTCTATTTCGTCCAAATATGGCTTCAGATACCATGTTTCCTAGAACAGAAAAATCATAAAATTAATCAACTTTCGCTCAGCTGCATTTGATAGGAGACTCAGTTTCTGACAACGAAATACTCTAAGAAATTCACTCTCTTTTAGGATATTCATACGTACTGGCTGGCTGAATATAAATGTTTTCGGCAAACGAACAACTCCGGAATAAACAAAATTGAGTATTTTAAGCGTACTTCTTCCCATTTCGTCCATTTTTCTTTCGGCATACGTTCTCCATGCGTCACAAGAGTATGAGCAGTTGAAAGGCGCATTTTGCGCTGATCAAACAGCCACGGTTCCTTCAGATTCATACGCCTCAACGCTTCCGAAACCTCAGGTGCTGGCTCGAAGTATTGATCGTGGAACAACAGACCTTCAATACAGATGCAAATCAATCGTAAAGAAGCTAGCTGGCCGCAGAGAAAATGAATCTAAAACTTACCATACTCTCGGCCTCCCCACAGATAGCGCCACGACACATAGCGTGCAAATTGAACGAGAGAATCTGAAAAATTGATAACTTGAAAACCAGACGAAATACAACCCCAAAGTACAAATGAAATTTAGCCACTGAATTCGGTCAGTTATAGATGAACGTCTCAAATAAGTGATGCAAAGTGCTGGAAATTGAGAACACAACAACTTACTGTTATAAGCCCACTTGATATTCTTGGCTGCAGCTGGAACAACACTCCAAGGTGCCATTCTTTTCAATTTAATACTCCTAAATAAAAGTCAAATGCCGATGAATAGTTCTTTAGTTGAAATTAGGAAAAAACATTAGGCGTAACGATCTCGTTTACGCGACTATAACTGTCAGATAAGCTCGACTACGGTTGACTCATTATTAGAAAGTCTTAAGGCTACCATCAAAAATCCCCGTATTATAAATAAATAGTCAAATGCATCCAGCCGAGCCTGAGAGGCTCACACTGTCTCGGATAATACTTTTAAAAAATTTCAGTTATGTGATGGTGAAAGTTAAATTAGGATCACGATTATTTCACAATCAGAGGATGAACGCAGAATTTGATCGAAAACAACAACGACCCGTTAAAGATGTGAAGAAATAAATACGTAAAACCAAACATATGACATTCTCTGATTAACAACGTAAATCTGAAACTTAATGATAAAAACTTGGATCCAAATCGATT